TCATCAAGAAAGTTGTCGCATTTAATTGCGTGGCAGTCGAGTATAGTCAGTTAAGGAATTTGCGCATTGCCGCTAAATAGAACAGAAACAATCATGGCAGGCAGGGGAGAATGCATTACTTATGTGGGCGCAGCGTGATACTGGCAATGATGAGTCAATCGCTACTCATACAGGCTTCAGCCTGGCCCCAGTATACGGAAGACAGGAAGTAAGCGGTTGGAAGAAGGACCTCAATGTGCTTGTTTCAAGCCACACTTCCATGGGGCCAGGGGTGGTTCTCCTGGAATTTCCCTCTTTGGAGTAATTTGAGAACTATCTACCACCGGCACCAGATATTATAGGAAGGTTTTTCAATTTCGTCCTTAGAATGACCATCTTTGGGTCAACGATGGGCACTCCCAGAGGCTAAGAGAACCCCTGCCCCAGGGGAAGTGGAGACACGAATGCTGCATCTTGTGTGGTAAGAGGGTTCCCGCGTTGAACGCAGCCTTGTGACGTTCCTCACATTCTCAATGTCTCCAGGGCTCGGAGCTGGGAGGCCTGGTCCCGGGAAACGCTGGACCGTGGTACGTGGCATCGGATGGAATTGACAGCGAGAGCCAACTTACTTGTCTGGCATGCTTTTAAACAGGTCTGCTCTGGGAGGCAGCAGGAGTCGAGCAGAGACCGGGCCCAGGAGAACGAGCGCGCAAATCAGCAAAAGTGTTCTTCCGGCTACATCGCCTGTGTTTTTTCTGTCGGAAAATTGCCAGTCGTGAAGGTCCAAAATAACCCGCTCCCCAATGGCTTAAACAAAGCAGCAAACAAGGCCTAGGCTTAGTTATATTACTAAGAAATTATCCTTAGCCCTTACTGATTGCTTAATATATCTTAGTTTTATTTTAGTACATCCCCTTGGGTTTACTACATGTGGTGTTTCTTTGGAAACAAAAATGAAATTAGATGAGAAATATTTCCCCAGATTTCTTAGGTCTTGTTTTACAAAGAGTATGTTGTAGAAGAAATAATTCTCCCGTACCTTTTGTTGTCTTTCCTGGGCATCATAGTTGAGCTCCGTACTCTGATTCTTCGATCTTAAACATTCTTCAAGAATTCTACTTTTATTGATATATAAGTTAGTGTTGGGTTCAGCTGCAGCCACAGAAAAATCAAAATAGTGCCTTAACAAGGTAAAAGTTTCTTTCTTTCTTCACGTGAAAGTACCCTGGAAGCCAGCCAAGGACCAGCCAAGTAGAAGCCTGGTAATCATGAGGAACCCAAGATTCATCTCTGTCTCTGTCTCTGCCATGTCAGCATGTGGCACTCATCTTCAAGGTCATAATCCAGGGTGGCAGCTGGTGCTCCAGCTGTCATGTCTCTGAAGGAACAGGAGAGAAAGGGCTTGGGGAAAAGAAAAAGTTCTTCTCTCAGATATTTCAATTTCCTATAAGCGGTTCTACATAATGCTTCTGCTTAACTCTCACTGGCCAGAATTTAGTTGCACATGGTATCAGCCACTGCAAGGAAGGCTGGGAAATGCTATATTTTAGACAAGCAAATTGCAAGCTCAAAATGAACAAACAACAACAAAAAAAGGTTGGACTTCTCCTACTGGGGATTAAAGGGAGCTGGAGAGAGGACAGCAGCTCTCCCTTGGCGTTCCAGCCCCCAGCACAGCACATGTGGGTGCCACTTACTGGAGGAGGAGCAGCAGGGTGGGCTCCTTTAGTGACTGACAGTCCAGGGTCATCCAGGCCCTCAGGAAGTGAGCAGTGGGGTGATGAAGACAGACAGCAGCAATGCCACTTGGTTCAGTTAGGATGCCCAAGGGTGCTGATGTGGGCAGGAGACTAGGGAGGCCCCTGAGTCTTCTGTCTTCTAAATCTGCTCTTATGTTTCCCACATAAACTGTTTTAGTTGTTTTTTGCTCATTTGTTTGTTTTTCCATCTAACATCCTAATGACACTGGGCAAAGTTGACAATTCAAGCTATGTTATACTTTGGGAACACTTAGACCAAAATTGGAATTTGGTTGCCGGCTTTCTTAGCCACTAGGCTATAAGAGCTAAGCAATCCTTTTAGCACAATTGTGCAGAGTCTCTGGATGTTCAGTCTTTGCTTTTAGACTAGAATTTAGTTATTTGACCTTGTTGTCTAGAACTACAAGGAGAATTACACAATTCTATCATCACCAATAGTTTTCTCAATTGTGGATACACTAGATAGATAAGAAATCAGCAAAGATAAAGATTTGAGTAACAAAGCTAACAGGCTTGACATAAGGGACTTGTAAGAATTCTATAACCAATGACGGCCGGGCGCGGTGGCTCACGCCGGTAATCCCAGCACTTTCGGAGGCCGAAGCCAGCGGATCATGAGGTCAGGAGATCGAGACCATCCTGGCTAACATGGTGAAACCCCGTCTGTACTAAAAATACAAAAAATTAGCTGGGCGTGGTGGCGGGCCCCTATAGTCCCAGTACCTGGGAGGCTGAGGCAGGAGAATGGTGTGAACCCGGGAGGCGGAGTTTGTAGTGAGCCCAGATGGCGCCACCACACTCCAGCCTGGGTGACAGAGCGAGACTCCATCTCAAAAAAAAAAAAAAAATTCTATAACCAATGATTAGAGAATATTCTTCTCAGTAATCCTGTAACATTTAAAAAAAATTGATGATATACTGGGCTTATAAGGGAAATCTCAACAAATTTCAGAGAATAGGTATCAGACAGACCTTGGTCTCACCACCATACAGTTAAACTAGAAGACTGTAATAAGATTAATGAAAACCTCTTCATGTATTTAGAAAATAAAAAACTTCTAAAGAATAAGTCAAAGAAAAAAATACTGACAACTAATAAATAACTAGAAATGAATAATAATGAAAAGATTACATATGAAAATTTGTGGATTATAGCAAAGTATAGTGCTTTAGGAAAATTTATAACTTTAAGTTATTATATTGCAAAGGAAAGCTGAAAGTTAACTAACTTAAGAAGTTAGCAAATAAATAAATAAATAAGTAACAGAAGAAACCCAAAGAAAGAGAGATTAATTTAAAAACAAGGGCATTGGGAGGCTGAGGCAGGCAGATCACTTGAGGTCAGGAGGTCAAGACTAGCCTGGCCAACATAGTGAAACCCTGTCTCTACTAAAAACACAAAAATTAGCCAGGCGTGGTGGTGCACAACTGTGGTCCCAACTACTTGGGAGGCTGAGGTAGGAGGATCGCTTGAACCTGGGAGGTGGAGGTTGCAGTGAGCTGAGATTATGCCACTGCACTCCACCCTGGGCAATAGAGTGAGACGCTGTCTCAAAAAAAAAAAAAAAAAGAAATTAAAATTAATAAATAAAAAGCAAGAGCAACAATGAATGAAATGATAGAAAACAAAGAAATAATATGAAGCAATTTGTCTATAGAAAGGTGTGTTTGATCAAATTTAACAATTATTCACAATAATATCTCGTCAAATTTTGAATATAGCTTTTAGTGTGAGGAAGGCTATTTTAGGTGAGATACAAATGGTATTAATCATAAAAGATTAGTAAATTCGACTACATGGAGGTAAGAAAGCCTGTTCCTCAAAAGAGTTGAAAAACTGTGACAAGCTAAAAATTGGGAGGAGTTATTTATAAATTATATAAGTGAGAATGTTGAAAACTTAAAAGCTGAAGAATAACAAATAATAAAAATATGAAAAATTCAGTAGAAAAATGGACAAAAGGTAAGAAAGGAGGAAACAGAATTAATAAAAATGACAAGATGTTCTACCTCACTAGTACTAAGGAAATGCAGATGAGAGAACATATGTCCATTGTTTGGCAAAAGTAAAAATCCCCCCAGTGTGGGAGGGAATACGGGACAGATTTCTTGTACACTGTGGATGAGTATACACTGTGGATGAGTATACACTGTGGATGAGTATACATTGTGGATGAGTATACACTGTGGATGAGTATACATTGTGGATGAGTATACACTGGCATAATGATATTGGAAAATAATTTGATTACCTTGTAAAGTAGAATATTTTTATATCCTATGCCTCTGCAATTTCACTTCTGGTGATATGTGCAAGATAAATTCCAACACATATGTACCAGAAGACAGTAAAAGAAAGTTCAAAGCAACACTCTTCATTATAGCAAAAGATTGAAAATTACCAATGCCCATCATTTAAGAATAGGTATTAATACATTAAATGGAATCTCCATATTGAAGTGAAAAAAAGCCTGAAAATAGCTTTATTCAACAACAGGATGAATATGGGAAACACAAAATTGAGTGGGAGGAAAAAGAAATTGCAGAAGGCAACCAGCAGTATCGTTGCGCCCCTCCACCCCTACCTATTTTTATTTTTAGATCAAAAGCAAGTAAAACCAAACAGTATATTTTCAGGTATACACATATGGGATAAAACAAAAGAGAGAGAATGAGAATCACATCACTTAGGATACAGTGGGTGCCTCTGAGTGGGAGGCAAGAGGGTGGATAGGTGGGATGGTGCAGGCACACAGAGCAGAAATTGTTAGTGAGGTCTGCGGTTGGATGGTGGGTTCACAGGTGTTTTCCATGTTGAAATAAATAACAGAAGGGAATCCCAGCACTTTGGGAGGCTGAGGCGGGCGGATCACAAGGTCAGGAGATTGAGACCATCCTGGCCAACATGGTGAAAACCCATCTCTACTGAAATACAAAATATTAGCCAGGCATGGTAGTGTGCACCTGTAGTCCCAGCTAGTCAGGAGGCTGAGGCAGGGGAATCACTTGAACCCGGGAGGCGGAGGTTGCAGTGAGCCGAGATTGCACCACTGCACTCCAGCCTGGCAACAGAGCAAGACTCTGTCTCAAATAAATAAATAAATAAATAAATAAATAAATAAATAAAATAAGAAGGGGACCAAGCACAGATCAACAGTGATACTGTGTAATGAACTAAGCTCTCTCATTGGTCCAATCCAGGGCCCCTGAGGTGTTTAAACAAAAACAACAAAACTTAATGAATCCCAAGTCCATCTCATCCCTTACTCAGTTTTCTATACACCATGGTGAAATGATTTCCAATGTCTGTTATCATTGTCAATTTGATCTTACTGAGATTATCTTCACAGAGATTAGCAATTTATGATAAATACTTGTTTCACTGATCAATGTTTGACCATATCAAGCTTTCAAATTTTAGCTTTTAACATGGTTTTCTTTTTTTCTTAAATGTTATTGTTAAACAATGTCAGGCATACGGAATTAGGGAGGAAGCTGCCCAGGATCGCCATGGACCCATCTCAGCTCTGACACTTACCGATTCCTGTCCCGTCCACATCTTCACTCACTTTCTCCTCCTCCCCCAGGTTACTGAAACTAAACCCAGGCATCATAGTCTTTCCTTTGTAAAGATTTCAGTAGATATCTCTGAAAAATAAAGGCACTCTTTTTACAACCATAAGGCGTTACCATTATTATATTAAAATAAAGTATTCCTTAATATAGTCAAGTATCTGGTCAGTGCTCACATTTCCCCTGTTATTCCCCCCTCCCCAAGGTTGTTTAAATCAAGATCCAAACAAAGCCCATTCATTTGATTGGTTTATGAGTCTTTCTAAGTCTCTTTCACATTTTCCCAGAATTGATTTTGAAATTCTAAACTTTACTAAGATTATTCCATAAAAGCACTGCTTTTTTGACTGCGTCCCTGTTTGACAGCTGGGGAGAGAAAGCGGCTTCCTGCTCATTTTACTTGTCCATTTGGGATGTTCACAGGTGGCCGCCGAGACCAGAGCAGTCATAGCCTGGATGGAAAAAATCCCTTTTGTGCTGGGCGGCAACCTGCAGGGCGGCGAGCTGGTGGTGGCCTACCCCTACGATCTGGTGCGGTCCCCCTGGAAGACACAGGAACACACCCCCACCCCCGACGACCATGTGTTCCGCTGGCTGGCCTACTCCTATGCCTCCACACACCGCCTCATGACGGACGCCCGGAGGAGGGTGTGCCACACGGAGGAGTTCCAGAAGGAGGAGGGCACTGTCAATGGGGCCTCCTGGCACACTGTTGCTGGAAGTAAGCCTCCCTCTTGGGGAGAGTGGGCTGCAGGCACAGGAGGACACTGCAGGGGTCTCCTCCTGGCCCTCCCGGTATCACTACTGTCCCGTTGTCACTAAGTGGTGGCTGCCACGGTGGAGCACTTAGGACCTGCCAGCACTTTCCTAAGCACAGCACTCAGGCTCTCCTTCCATCCTAGCCCCAGTCTCACTTTCCAGTGCACAAAGGAGGTAACGGGCTGGAGACCCAAAGGGATCTGCTCGAGTAGGAAAGGCACAGGGCTGGGGTCTCTGACTCCGTGGCCTGTGCTTAGCCTCCAAGCTATTCAGATTTGACAGGGTCAGAGATGGGTAAAATTGGAGTTAATGGCAATAGTGGACAAAACAAAAACAAAGACAAAAAAACCCAACCTAGTGAAAGGGTGGAGAGCATGCTGGTGCTGGTGCTGGCACTGGAGCCTGAGTTTTTCTTATCTTATCTGTACGAGCTCTTCTGTTCTTGGGTGATGTCCTGTGCTGTAAACCCACAGAGGGGGCCAGGCATCCATCCCAAGCTCAGCTGTGAAGGGACTGTGAGCTGCAGACTGAACCTGTGGTGAGGACGGTTCCATTCATACCTGCTGTCCTCCAGCGGCCAGCGGGCCGGCCCGTCACACTCATACCCACAGCCTGCGGTCAACACTGACTGTGTGCTGCATGGGGAATACAAAGTATTGCTCCTGGCATCCACTCAGCACCGTAGAGGCTCACAGGAGAGACTTCAGAAATTCCCTCACAGCAGCCAGAGGGCCCCGCAGTCCACACGTCAGGACAAGCAGTTGGTTTCCTGTCTCAGGGCTGTTCCCTAAACCAGGAGGGATGAGGATGTCCCATTTCCAAAGTCCCTCTGCATGGACTGCAGGACCCCGGGCATAACGCTTCTTCCTTCCTTCGCTTTGTGAGGGTTGCTCAAGCCATTGATGAATTTGCAAAATATTTTCATGTCAGACTGGGGGTTCAAATCCCACTCTGTTACTTAGTTGCTATGTGATGCAGGGCCAGTTACTTAACCTCTCTGAACCCTTGCACTTTTTCATTTGTAAAAATGGTCATGATGAAGAGGAGGAGGAGGATGGTGGTAGTAATACCAGCTCCCTCCAGGAAGCTGTGAGGATGACGCAGGTGGAAGATGTGGATGTGCTTGACGTGTGGCTCACAGAAATAGTCGCAATAAGTTCCCGTTCCCTGCGGACTCCCCTCTGCAGTAACACGCTGCTGTGAAACCTCACATAAGCACATCCTTATTGTCGGTTTCACTGTACTGATAAGCATTAATATCGTTTGACTTTGTTAGAAACTCAGCCTTCACCTACTTTTCAAGTATGTTCCCACCTTTGGGAAAAGAAAAACAAAGTAGAAATACTTGTTTCCCTGGGCATTTTAAAACGTGCAGAAAGCTTGACGTTTTGCCTTTTACAGACCAAGTGGAGGCATTTTATCTAAATCCATCATGGTTTTACCTTGTATGAAATAAAAAAAAAAAAAATGCAAATCTCTATCTATCAAGAAAAATTCCTAATCACAAAAAGCATTCTTGCTTTTCAAGTTTTTAGCCCTAAAAACCCACCTACAAAAAGCTTTAAGTAAAATACCTGTTTATTTTTTATGGCTGCTGTGACTAAATTGGGCATGGGCACACCCGGATTCCCCAGTATTGGTCACTCGTAACATTTTGCGAAGTTGGCTGCCACACAATCACATAGGTAGTGTTTGATTTTTTTTTTCTATCAATTATATTTTCCATTATTTCTGGGACTTTGCAGCAGAGCTGTGTGGTAGCTTGAGCCTTTTTAATCATTCATCTTCCTGACAGTGTGATGAAGTCTGCAGATTCATTGCTTTGTAGATTAATGAAGTGTGACTTGTAATTTCCTTTCCTCCCCCTCCCTCTCCTCTCCACCTTTTTGTTCCATTTTTTTTCTCACTCATTAGCTGTGCCCTGCCAGGCACTAGTTAATGGGGAGTGGCCCAGTCGAGAGCAAGGGTCAATACACTTTGAAATGTACATTGTTTGGAGTATGTGTGCTTTCACTCCAGACTCCTTTGAGCCTCTCTGTTCCTGCCACCCTGCACCTTCTCCTCCACAGTGAAGGAAGGTGTGGTCGCATCAGATGCACAGAGCTGTAAGGAATGTGGCTGTGCCTTCCCTGCTGAAGCTGGTGACAAGAGAAGGATGCCAGTTAGGGAGAGAACGCAAAGGAATATCTCACCACCCCAGCTAGGACCGAAGGCTTGTGAAGAATTATCTGGGGCACATCGTGGCCCCTTGTTCACACACTTCAGACAGGAAGTAGCATTTTGCTTTCAAAGCCCGTCTCTGGCCATGTGTTCTCAGCAAGGTGATACACTCTGGAAGGCTGGCGGGCGGCAGCAGGACAGCAAGGCCCAGGCTTCTCCACTTCCCTCTGGTTTCTCATTTTGCCAGTTCTTCTAAAACTTCCTGTGCTCTGAAGACACATATTGCAAAATGGCAGGCTCACTCCAGAACGTTTAAATATCGCATTTATTTCGGTGCTAACGAGGACTAAAAGGGTGGAAGTGACAATCGTTTTCTCTGCAGACAGGTGTTCAGCCCTCCCGGAAAGCTGAAACCTGTGCTCACTGGTGGCCTGTTGTCCCCTGGCCTTCTTGCACTGTCTGTAATTCCATACTGCAGGTTTGACCGAAGGAATTTTGACCAGTCTCCTTCAATGAGACGGGGGCCCATGTGAAGGATTTTCCATTGACTTGGCTCTGTCCCACCCTTTTTATTCCACTGCTTTCACTGCAAACACGCTCAGTGTTTCATCACAGGCTTAATCAGAGGCCCATTGCTGACGACATGTGAATGGTTCGAACCTGGCATTGGGTAGAGTGGCTGTATACTTAACGCCATTTTGCCTCTGACTTCACTGACCAGGCAGCAGATTGATAGAGTTGCTCTTGACACCCCAAAGCCACTGTTTTGATACTGAGCATTGCAGGAGAGGGTTCCTTCTGGTGCACTGAGTGAGAATGAAGAAAATTTGTCCAAGGCACACAGCACTCCTGCTTTCTGTGACCCTGACCCTAGAGCCCAGGGAGGGTGGTCAGAGGGGCCTTCTACTGGATGAGTCGCGCAGAGCACAGCTTGCTAATCATCATCCTGTTCAAAAACAAAAATGTTGGGAAGGAAGCCACTGGTACTTCAAGCCATCAAACACTCATCTATTTATTTCACAAATGTTGGCTAGTATAGTGGGTGGAGTGGTGGCCTCCCCAGAAGATAATGTCTGCTTTCTAAAACCCCACACCTGGGAATGTTAGCTTATTTGGAAAACGAGTCTTGGCAGGTATCATTATATTCAGGGTCTCCAGATGGGGTCACCCTGTGTTACCTGGAAGCAAGACAGAAGAAGAGGAGAAGCCCATATGAAGACAGAGACAGAGAGCTTAGTGATGCGGCCTTAAGACAAAGAATGCCGGGGGCCCCGTAAGCTGCAAGAGGCAAGGAAGCCTCCTCCCCTAGAGGAGGCTCCCCCTCCCAGAGGCTTCGGAGGGACCACAGACACCTTGGTTTCAGACTTCTGGCCTCTGAGACTGTGAGAGAATAAATTTCTGTTGCTTTAAGCCAACCATTTGGTGGTAATTTACACTGTAACAGCAGCCCTAGATAATGAGTCCAGACACCCACTACACATCAGGCTGGGGCTTCCTGTCCTGCTGTCGTCATGCCAGGAGGCAGAAGGCTTGTCTGCTTTCAGGTGTACTGGGGGAGTGGGTTTGCCTACAAGTCCCCAAACAGTGATGCTCTATTCGGAGCCGTAGGCAAGGGCATGCAGACCTGGGCCCAAACCCTGACTCTGACCCTTTCCAGACACATACGTGGTCCTGGGTACGATTCTTTCCCTTCTCAACCTCAATTTTCCTATTTGTAAAATTGTGCTGTGTTGCCTACCTCTGCTGGGTTTGGGATGAAAATTAAGTCACCTAATGGCTGCAGAGTGCTTAGGACAGATCCTGGCTTATAGGAGGCACTCGGCAAACAGTGGCAAGGATCGCAATTTTTGGAATCAAAATAGAAGACTGTCATAGAGCTATAGCTGAGACAGCATAACTGTAGAGAGAAACTTAATCAAACACTTAAAACCTGTAGTGTTCATGAATGATAGCTTTACTCCAAAAATGGAGCGTTAAACTTTTTTACTTTAATAAAGTATTTTATCTGAATAGCATTATTTCAGTTCTTTTGGCTTTTTTGTCAAAGCCACACTTCCATGTGTCCGTCCTCACCACACACCACTCTGGCTGCATCTTCTCTCCAGAATCTCTAACTCACACACATTTGCTCTAATGCAAATTTTTGTCTGTAGTAGATACTTGATACCTCCCTGTTTAAACAAGGCCTTCCGAATGTTCTTAAACATTTCTGCTTCCCCCTGTGTCGCATTCCCCAGTGCCATTTTGAGTATTGTTCAGTTACGCTGTTGTCCCGTTGGCTTGGCAGGTCTGAACGATTTCAGCTACCTTCATACAAACTGCTTCGAACTGTCCATCTACGTCGGCTGTGATAAATACCCACATGAGAGTCAACTGCCCGAAGAGTGGGAGAATAACCGGGAATCTCTGATCGTGTTCATGGAGCAGGTATATTGAGGGCATGTGGCTGGGATGAGGGGGACTAGCTGGGGGATGAGGCTGCCAGGTGGCTGAAAGTATGGGATAGAATTAGAGCTTCAGACCTTGGTCATCGTACTGGGCCATCTTAGTGCTTTGAGGAGCAACTCTGTGTTGACACTTGAGCAGGCCCCAGGGAAGAGAGCTCTAAACCAATGGTCATTGTGCCCACTGGCCTGGAGCAATTGGGACTGGTTCCTGGGCTCTCTGATGCTGCTCTGCAGGGAACAGGTGCTACGTGTTTGAGCCAACGTGCCCAGGCCCCTTGTCTCAGTCTGCTCTGGCTGCCCTCACAAAACACCACAGACCAGGTGGCTTACAAGGCAGACTTGCAGCTCTGGAGGCCGGAAGTCCGAGACGAAGCTGCCCACAGGGTCAGTGTCCTTGGAGCCTTGTCTCCTCGGCTGCCATCTTGCCACCTCTTCACATGGTGGTTATCCTTCTGTGCATGTGCCTCTGTGTATGAGTCCAAATTTCCTCTTCTTAGGAGGACGCCACCTTAACAGCCTCATTTTCACTTAATTACCTCTTTGAAGGCTCCATCTCTAAATAGTCACATTCTGAGATACTGGGGTTGGGGCTTCAACATATGAATTTGCGGGGTGGGGTGGGGACACAATTGAGTCCCTAACACCCTCCCAGGCCTTCAGAGTCACTGTTGCAGGTGGCAGGGGTGAATGACCTGGGAACAGCTTTAACAAGTACCGCTGGGCTCTGCTACCCAGCTGGGGAGGGGCTGCTGCTGCCTCCTCTGAGAACCTTGGACACCTCCCTGCCGTAGGCTGTCAAGGACACATCCATCTTGCAGCATTAGTGAATTCACCAGTTCTAGTTCTGCAACTAACCAAACAGTATCCAGGCCCCACTAAGGAACAGACTAACTGGAAAGCAATGGATTAAACAGAAACAAGTGTCAAGCCTCAGGGCTCCTGCTTTTTCTAAGTGTTAATTCTGACTCCACCTTAACCTCCATCCATTTGGAAGTAAGACCCTGAGGCTGGACACAAGGTTCCCCCTCCATGGATTGTGCTCAGCAGTCAGAGGGCACGTTCAGCCAATGGCTTTGGCTGGCACTTTTGGCTGCACTTCTGCACAGGGGGCAGAGGTTGGCACCAGGATTTAGCATCTGACTCTGTCCCATGATGGTCTTGGGAGACTCAGCCCCCAGTGAGCTTCCCTGGCACAGAAGGGTGTGAGTCCATTTTTCCTTCTAAGGGGAACCTCACCCAAGGAATTCCTGTTCCCAGCCTGGAATTTTGTAAGAGAAGGCTCTTTTTCCTTTGCATCCCTGTAAAGAGAAGGACTTGACTGTAACAACCTAATCAGTCTTAAGTAATGATGCCATTTAGCCAAAAGGCCTCCTGTGGATAAAATGCCTAGTCCTCATAATATGCATAAAGTCATTGGTAATTATGGAATGTCACCTTGGATTGGCACATCGTTCTACAAGTGGGGAAACTGAGGCATAAGGTTCAAGTGTATCGCATGACACAATTAAGTCTTTGGAAGGGTCTATGCCTGGAGTTGTCGTCTGTAGGAAGGTTTCTTTGAATTGTTTGTTTTCCCTCTGACTTTTAAGTCAGCAAGTCCCAAAAAGTCAAAATAAATATGCCTATAAAAATTAAATTTCAGTTTTTAGCAAATGTGTTTCTGTGAACCGTCTCGGATCCTAATACTTTTTAAGCCTCTGGGCATTTTAATGGAAGACTTTCTGGTGCAAGAACCCAAAAGAAATGCAGAAGTTTACATTCCAAATCCATACAGAGCCAGGCAAGCCTATAACCTGAGGACTCCTGTTTTTCTAAGAGATAATTTAATTGGTGTTTTTCTCTTCTTTTCTCCTTTCTCCTTTCCCCTGCTTCCCACTTAGCCTTTTTTGAAATGCAAAATAACCTGTCACTTCCCCCTCAGCAGACATTCCCTGCAGGGCAAGCTCATCTGTGCTCCAAGGCAGAACGCCCACCTCCAGGGGCTGGCCACTTTTACAACTTATTTCTGCCCAGGAAGGTGCCAACTCAACTGTCTGGTAGATAAGACACCAGGCTAGCAGGGTCTAGATAAGACACCTGCCCTTGCTCACTAGCTCCCTCCCCTCATAAAAGTATCAGCTTTTTGCTCCAAAGGAGAAGTGGCACATTTTAAAGCAGGATGGTTCCCTAATGCTAGCTTCAGAAATAAGTTCACTTTTCTTACACCAAGACCTCGCCCTTGTTAATTGAACCCGACAATGCAGTGAGCAATGAACCTGCTTTTCGGTTCCATGCCCCTGAGCAAGACGTGGTGCTGTGTGAGTTCTTGGTGGGAGCCGGCAGATGGCGGGTTGACAGCCCCCTCCATTGCGCCGGTTGTGTCCAGAGCTGGTCGGTGGCCTCACCCTGTGTCTCATGTTTGCTGAGCAGGTTCATCGTGGCATTAAAGGCTTGGTGAGAGATTCACATGGAAAAGGAATCCCAAATGCCATTATCTCCGTAGAAGGCGTTAACCATGACATCCGAACAGGTAACTGCAAATGTGTACCAACTGTCTCTTGGTAAGAAATACCCATTTTTTTTTTTAGGTGTTTTACTTGGGTTACAATCATGAAATGACTGCTGGAAACGTCTTACTCAGAGCCGAATTACAGTCTCCTTCCTCTACATTTCCCACTTTTCAAGAGACCCTTGAAAGGGAGGTTTTCAACCTGTGCTTCCTGGTTGCTCTCTGTCCCTTGCACAGGATGGTCATGCAGCAGCCAGCTGACCTCCAGGTGCAGTGGAAGTTTCTAAGGAGTTGAGGAAGCAGCTCTGTCTCTATGGAGTTGTTGCATCTGCAGGCATCTTAGCTCTCAGACCAGGTGGAATGTGGCCTGTGTCCTTAAGCCCAGAGGGGCCGGGGAGGGAGGGAGGGAGCCAGGCTGCTCGGGAGAGGGAGAAGCCATAAAGTGGGTGACTTATGGAGGAGTGGAGAGTTTGAAGGGACCAGCAGCAAGATGACAGCTGGAGGGGTGGGTTGGGACTGGCCTTACATGCCCCTCCAGAGAGGATGCAACTTTTCCATTAAAGCATAGGAAATCACTGAGCGTGATGCCTTAGGGAGACTCAGGTGTCTGTAATGTGAAGGGTAGGATAAGAATAACAGTAATAATAAACGTGGGCATCTCCTATATGCCACTCTGTTAATAACTTTCTTGTATTAACTCTGTCATTTAACTGCATCATTCCTCACATAAATTGTATCTTTCTTGATGCTGTCATTCGATGAGATGTATCAGGGAGACCCAGCTCCCACTCACTGGAAGGGATGCGTGTCTGAGGGTGTTAACTAGTCAGGGTTAGCACGTGTGATTCCCTTTTGAATGCAGGGTAGAAAATTCTAGGAACTTGGATAATCTGAGGGTCAGAGAATGATCTCTAAAAGGCAGTGCTGACATCTTATTCCAACTCCGTTTGCTATGGAAAAAAAGAAATTGTAAGACCCAGGGTTTTATAAACCAAATTCAGTTTCCAGTTCCTAAAATGCCAAAACAATCTCCCATTTTAAAATGCACTTATGAAGCGGCCACACCACGTCAGGACAGCAGAAGGCTGCCCCTGGATCACTCAGCAACAGCAGGAATAAGGAGCTGTTCCCCACACGATCTGTTCTCAAAGAACGCTCACACATGCTTTCTCTCAGTTGTTTTCACTTTATCCCTCTGAGGGAGACAGGCCATTCTTTCCCACTCATTCAGGTGAAAAACAGCAGCTCAAGGAGGGCACTGACCCACTGATGGTTAAGGGGTTAGAAGAGTTTGGCTTCAGGTCTCTGACCCCCAGGTGGGCTGGAAGATGCCCTACAGGTGCCCCTCAGGGTCCCAGAGGACTCTGCCCTGTTCTTTGCTGGTCAGAAAGTGGTATGAAGACAAAGGTGCTTAACAAGTCCAGGTTTTTCTTTTGTGCCACAGGGCTGTCATGACCTGGGATGCCCCACTTAAAACTGAAAATGCTGTGTCCCACTCCCCACCCCTGTCCTAGGCAAACAGGGCCATGATCTGACTTCCCACTGCTCCTCGTGGACTGACAGTCACACAGGGGGTCATCACTGCGGCGCCTCTGTCCACCTGAACCTTCTTCCCTGGGGGGGTCCCTGGGTTCCTGCCTCCTGCCTTTCAGGTCTTTGCTCAGATGGCACCATCTCACTGCAGCCAACCCTGACCCCTGTGAGCATGGCACACCTCCCTGCTGCCCTGTTGGTCCCTCTTACCTGCCCCGACTTTGTCCCTTCCCCGTGACACATCTCCCTTCTAACACATCACGTAATAGGCTCGTGTGTACTCTGCTCGTTATTTGTTTCTGCCTCTTCGCCCCCACGAGGTCAGGAGCCCTTGACTGTTTGGTTGGTTTATTCCTCAGTGTATTATGAGCCCCCTGCCTGGCCACTTCTGAGCAGTGGATGCTCAATAAATACTTGTTGATGAATGGGCGGATGAACAGTCCATGATGTTCCAGGATTACCCAGTGAGAGGCAGAACTATGATTTGAGCCAAGCGCTAGAGGCTTCAAATCTGGTGCTCCTTCCTTTATTTCCATGCTATTTTTCTTGATCAGGGAGGAGAGGCTCCTTCTCTGCAAACTGTTTCCATGATCCGGTCATGTCAACAAAAGATCCCATTCCACCTGCCAGGAAGCAGACTTTGGGACATTAGGATGAGGTGAGGCTGGGGTTCAGACCTGGCCCACATACCCTTCATTACCAGGCTCCCTAGCAGTGGGCCTGGCATAAAAGACCAAATATGCAAATGGGTGAACTGTGTCTAAAATGCCACAAAATTGTAGATTGCTGTATAATGCCATAAATTGCATTTTTCCTACCTAGTTACTGATTTCTTCACTTAATAATATTTTCTGAACATTCATACCGTTTGTCACTGATCTTATAGCCATGAACCATGAGGCTTCACACCAAATACCATGGAATTTTGTACATCGTAGCCCCTCATAGGTGTTCATTTTTTCCATATATTTATTCACCATTCCTTAATTAATTCAGCAAATGTAGATTGCATAGCTGTAATGTGCCAGAGACCACGCAGAGTGTTGGCGATCATTATGCATGAAAGGCTGTGTGATGTGGTTCTGCATAGGATTTGTATTTTAAACATTACAAATGAAGCTCCTTTGAAATGACAATTCTAGAAGAGCCTAGAACATTCCTTGACTATTTAGTGCTTTGTATGCAATGTGAGAAAACATAAGAGTTCTGAACTGAGTGGGAGATAAAAAGACCCTGGGGCCCCATAAGCTAAGACAGAATACTTTGCCTAATGGGTGCTGAGTTTCAAGCCCCTGCAATCAAGGAGACAGTTTTGATGAGCTAATGGGAAATGCAACTCCCTCCCTTGATTTTCCCCTCTATAAATAATTTCCCAGTGTATTATCATGACAGATAAACTCCATACTTTACACACGGCTCTTTATTCTGTTTCAGAATCTTTCGGTTCTCAAGAAAAGCTCTGAATTTGCCTTGATTTCTGTCTGAGGTTTATGTGATCTGACAAGTTTTATTTTGGGATGGATTTTGCATAAAGTAAACAGAGGTATTAAATGGAATTCCACAGGGAGGGAAGCTGGTAGGAATGCTTTGAGTTAGATGCATATCAGTGCGTTGGACAGACACCCGGCTCACCGTTCCACACGACTGTCCTTTACTTGGTGGGTGCTGACCTGACCTGCTCGTGTGGACATTCTTTAGACCTGAGTTGCCCCTTCTGCCCATGTATAGGAGATTGGTCAGGGTGGTGGGAGAAATTATAAGGAAAGACACAAACCTTCTTAGAAGGTCAGGAGGTTTTGCAAACACTTCGGAAGGGCAGAGTAGATAACAAGGGAATGTAAAGGAATTTATCTAGATGAATTTGTTTACTTATGTCTCTAGAAACCAACCTTTGATCATTTGTGTGCAGGACTGCTCTCTACTCAGGGGGGTCGACAATGTTAATTACCCACAAATTGTGTTTGCTCCAAGCCTTTGTCATTAAATCTGTACTAAATAAATACAAACATTTCTGGCTTATGGGGGCTGCATTCTTATCAGTGGTGCTAAGTCGTGTAGTCCCCTAGTCACATGCTCAGGCAAAATACTTGTGTCTGCATACTTCTTTCATCCATTGCTTGGCCAGAGTCTGTGGGACAGGCTTGGCACGCATGAATGCCTGGGATGCCCATTACGTGTTGACTTCCACTGCAGCTCCCTAGAAGGTTCACCCTGAAGACAGACCTGAGCACTCATGGGGACAGCAGCCCAACACTGCATCTCCTGCTTTTCATAATGTGATTCCAGACTTTTCCAGTGGCTAGAGACAGAAGCAGAGAAAATGAGAGCCTCAAGGAAGACATTGGGAAAATAGCCAAGAACTGAGGACAGCGTGCCCTGCCAGGCCAATGAGGGCATCAGGCAGATCTGTGTCTCCACAGTAGAAGCTTTCAGATGACAGGGCCAACGCCCCTCATTCTGACTCTGTGAACCCACACACAGTCCTGATCGTTGTATTCATTCTTTTGACCTTTCTTATTGAGCTCCTACTGTGTACCAGACTGGAAATACTGCAGTGAGTAAAACAAGTATGGCCTCTAAAAGTACACATTCTAGTGAAGGAAACCTAGAGATAATTCCAAAACGAAGATTTAAAAGTTTACTATGCACTGTGATCAGTGCCATGAAAAAAAAAATAAATCAAGTGATATTTACAGATAGATGGGAAAGCCAAGGAAGGGTCCCTGCCTACGGGGACATACACAGGCTGGCCTTTAGAAGAGCAAAGAATAGCATTCAAGTTGGAGGGAACAGTAATTGCAAAGGCTCAGAGTCAAGAATCAAGAAACAAAAGGAAGCCTTGTGTGGCTGGAGAGAGGCCGGCTGGGACCAGTGGAGCGCAGTGATGTGGAAGGGGCCCACAGGATCTGCGTTGGGTTTTGCTCTAAGCACTGAGCCCTCATCTGAATGGGGTGAACTCTCAGGCTCACAGGAACACTGTCTCCACCTGCTTGTCTATTTCTCTTCAAAAATTAGAGGGCTTACCTGACAGGGCCAAAAGGACAGAACAAATTTCTTGAAAATTAGTAAGAATAGCTTTCATTATTAAAAACAAATTCTAGGACTGGCGTGGTGACTCATGCCTGTAATCCTCAGCACTTTGGGAGGCTGAGGCGGGCGGATCACGAGGTCAGGAGTTCGAGACCAGCCTGGCCAATATGGTGAAACCCCGTCTCTACTAAAAAAAAAAAAAGAGAGAAAAAAAAAGTACAAAAATTAGCCAAGCGTGGTGGTGGGCACCTGTAATCCCAGCTACTCAGGAGGCTAAGGCAGGAGAATTGCTTGAACCCGGGAGGCAGAGGTTGCAGTGAGCTGAGATCACGCCACTGTACTGCAGCCTGGGCGATGGAGTGAGACTCTGTCTCAAAAAACAAAACAAAACAAAAAATCGAACTCTAGGCATTTAAATGGAATCTTGCAAGGCCTGACTTTAGAAAGGGTGAAAGGAAGTAGACCTGGCACAAGAGTTGGGAACAGCAGTGGGAACAGTATATGCAAAACCCAGAGGTGTGAGATGTGTGTGTCCTGAGACACCATTGCAAGGCAGTCAGAATGGCTGGAACAAAGGGGTGTGAGATACAATAGGAGAGGGCAGGAACTGGGACCCCAGAGGCTCCAGCCACCCAAGGACTTTGGATTTCATCGCCATGTGGCCCTGCGATAACGGCAGGTTTAGGGAGTAAGCACCATGATGTGTATAAGAAGGCCAGCAACAGCACAGAGGGTGGACTGGGGAGGGGACAGGGAGAGCTTCTTCTGGCTTTTTCGGGAACAAGGGGAATCACAAAGGCTTCTTATTAGAAACATGAAGTTGAGCCAGTTATGCTGATAACCATTAATTGTGGGTTTCTTTCACTGCTCAGCTTACTGAGGACCTCCCTTGGTGAGAACCTGGACTGCCCCCTCCCTGAGGTGTTTAACCTCCAAGTGCCATTGAGTCAGGTGCTCCTGCTGAGAGGTCTGCTTCCAGGGGCCTCCAATGGCCAGTGCCCCACAACAGTTGTTGGTGGGGGCAGGCTCTTGGCCTTAACTAATCCCCTCTGAGCACCCTTGGTTTTTGAGACCTGATATGCCCCACTTCTCAAGCCAGTAAGCCACGTGCTCTCCTGGTCGCTCACTTCTCTCCAGCCCATTCAGATGAACCAATGTTCTGACCTGTTCGGTATTCAATCCAGGAGGATAAACGGCATGCATGTTGAGCACGGAAGAGGAAAACATGGGCTCTACAGGTGCCTACAGCTTTAACACAGAGCCGAGGCAGGAAGCAGAGGCCATTTCCACTCTCAAGGATGAGCTGCCTGGTAGCAGGGAGAGGGGAGAGGACAGGCAGGGCACGTGGAGGAGGTGGCTCGCTTGGGCTTGTCAGGGACTGTGGGAACCCCGAGGGAGATCTCCAAAGACAAACTTTGCTGTGAGGCTCGGGTCACCTGCTGGTATAATTCAGCCTGTCGATGTGCTCCTGAAAAGGTATGAAGTGGCATTTTATTTAGTTGAAGAACTTGCCATTTCACTAAAAAAGACCCAGGACACATGCCAGGAACCACCCACCTGAGCGTGTACCTGGGTCTGTCAGATGAGTCCTGTTTTCCTTTCAGCTCCTTAATGATGTACTTGTGGCAAATGACTGCCTCCACGTTTCACTTCCCATCACGTCCTGTGCTCCTGTGAGCTCAGCGTATTGCACTGGGTGTTTCGGATGAACTGGGATTAGAATGTTCATGATTTCAACACGATGCTTCAAAGTGTTATAGATCTGTGTATATGGGAGATGTATATTTGTAAACACATACATAGTTTTCTTCCATCCATTAGAAGACTTCAGGACTTGTTAAGACAAGCAAACCTTGTCCAGGGACTACTAAGTACTTGATCAAACCCAACCTTTTCTCTACCTGGCTCCAAAACTTTAGACTGGTCAGGACATTCAGATTGTCACAAGTGAAGGACTGCTGATTACTAGCTGTGTGACCTGGAGCAGGATACTACACCTCTCTGGGCATCAAATTACTCACGTAGAAAAGGGAATAAGCATGCAGCCTGTATCACAGAGTCACTTGGAGGGTTCAGTGAGCCAGTGCCAGCCTCGTCTTTCTGTGTGTGGGTAGTGTTCTCCGGGATGGCCTCTGGTGTCTCCTTTTCTGTCTCATGGTCTCCGATATGCTATGGATCTAAATGTTCTCACCAGGCTATAGGCTCTCTGGGATAAGTGACCTCAGCCTAGAACCTGTCTTTTTTTTTTTTTTTTTTTTTGAGCCAGAGTCTCACTCTGTCACCCAGGCTGGAGTGCAGTGGCATGATCCCGACTCACTGCAACCTCCGCCTCCTGGGTTCAAGCGATTCTCCTGTCTCATCCTCCAGAGTAGCTGGGATTACAGGCACCCACCACCACACCCAACCTCCCAAAATGCTGGGATTATAGGCGTGAACCACTGCACCTACCACAGGGATCCAGCCTAGAGCTGAGGATGGACCCAGGTCACGTTAGGTGCCTGGGAGGTGATCGGCCGGTGGTTACCTGGGAGGCATGGGCACCACCTCAGCTCCAGCCTGGGTCTCATGTGGTCTCAAGGCTCCTCTGCGCCGCAGCATCCATGTATAGATGCCCCTGCAACTCCCAAGTCTCTCCAGGCCCCAGCCAGGGAATGGGGTACAGGTGCCAGGGCCTCTCCTGGGTCATCTGACCTCAGCCCAGTTAGTCCTTTCCTTCTCTTTCCAGAAGTGAAGAGCCCACGCCTTTAAAAAATGGTTATTGTGTACTTGCAGCCATGCTAAGGAAGCCAGGAGGCCCTGCACTGATGGCTTTTCAAGATGGCATTTTGTGGCGAGGGCATACCGTTTGGAAGTTCAAGTTCGTAATGAGTGGCTCATATTGTCACAGAGCAAGGAGCATTAGCGATCGGCTCTCCAGCTTTGCTCCTGTGTACTGACACTGCGGGAAGCCTATACCTCCCCTCCCTGTTCAAACCATTAAGGCAGCTTTCAGAGAGGAAAACATCTTGGCTTCCAAAATGCATTAAGAATTTGCATCTGCAGGAGCTAGGATTCCACGTTGCCAGCCTGAGAGTCTCTCTCTGGCCCAGGGAGCTGGTCTTGGAGGAGGGCTGGCGGGATTTGCATTAGCAAGAGCTGCTCTGAGTCTCCCCTGGTTTTCCTTTCCACAGCCAGCGATGGGGATTACTGGCGCCTCCTGAACCCTGGAGAGTATGCGGTCACAGCAAAGGCCGAAGGCTTCACTGCATCCACCAAGAACTGTATGGTTGGCTATGACATGGGGGCCACACGGTGTGACTTCACACTTAGCAAAACCAACATGGCCAGGATCCGAGAGATCATGGAGAAGTTTGGGAAGCAGCCCGTCAGCCTGCCAGCCAGGCGGCTGAAGCTGCGGGGGCGGAAGAGACGACAGCGTGGGTGACCCTCCTGGGCCCTGGAGACCCGTCTGGGACCCACGCAAATTAAACCAACTTGGTAGTAGCTCCATAGTGGACTCGCTCACTGTTGTTCCCTCTGTAATTCAAGAAGTGCCTGGAAGAGAGTGTGCATTGTGAGGCAGGTCCCAAAAGGGAAGGCTGGAGGCTGAGGCTGTTTTCTTTTCTTTGTTCCCATTTATCCAAATAACTTGGACAGAGCAGCAAAGAAAAGCTGATGGGAGTGAGAGAACTCAGCAAGCCAACCTGGGAGTCAGAGAGAGAAAGAGAAAGAGGGGATCCTGTCCGTTCAGAGCCTCCTGGCTGCCTGGAAAAGGATTCTGGTATTTCCCCTGTTTGCGTGACAGCAAAGGTTCCACATGCATTTGCAATTTGCACAGCTAAAATTGCAGCATTTCCCCAGCTGGGCTGTCCCAAATGTTACCATTTGAGATGCTCCCAGGCATCCTTCGAGAATCCACCCTCTCTGGCCCTGGGACATTGCAAGCTGCTACAGATAAATTCTGTGTTCTGTTGACAATAGTGTCATTGCCAAGTGCACATCAGTGAGCCTCTTGAATCCATTTAGTCTCCTTTTTCAACAAAGAAGTGTGTTCAGAAAAGGAGAGAGAGGCTGAGATCACTCAGGAGTTTTGTTGGGCGGTAAGCATGGAGCTTCTTGCACAATTTCTGGGTCCATAAAGAACCCCCAAACTCCCTGCAGATCCAGTAGCCCTGGAGTCTCCCCAAGTAGGGAAAACCAGAGGTGCCAGCCTTCCTGAGGGGCCAGATAATTTAGCCTGGATCTCCTCTTTCACCTGCTAGGACTGGAAAGAGCCAGAAGGGGGGTGGCCTGAAGCCCTCTCTCTGCTTGGGGTATTGCCCTGTGTGGAACTGTGTGCTCATGGGCTGGCCTCATGTCAGTCTGGGAGTTATTTTTGATATGTGGAATGCCAGATCTTCCAAATTAGGCTAAATGCAATGAAAACCTCTTAGGATTGTCTGCGGAGCATCAGTTTGGGAAGAATTATTGAATTATCTTGCAAGGAAAAAGTGTGTCTCCATTTTTGTTAATGTTGCTGCCTCATTGACCTGGGAAAAATGAAAAAAAATAACAATAAAGAAAGCAAATGGTAAGACCCTTCTGGTGTGTTTGGCTTTTCTGGGTAGGCTTGCAGCCACCCCACTACCTCTTTCTGAGGTTGGTCAGCCTAGACAAGGTGCCTGCTTGGGGGTGGCCATTCTGCACCCTGACTAAGCTCAGCACTGATGCTGACAACACTATGTTCCCTGCCTCCTTCCTAGGAGAGACACATGTTTGGGACCCACTATTCGCTCTTGGAGATGCCCATGAGCATCTTTAGAGAAAAGATTCTCATGTAGCTTTTGCACAGTCTATACTCAGGGTCAGCTAACTTTTCTTTAAAAGGGTCAGTAAATATCGTAGGTTTTGCAAGCCACACAGTCTCTGTCATAACCACTTAGCTCTGCTATTGTAGCACAAAAGCAGACATACACAGTACAGAAATGAATGGGCCAGCACTTTGGGAGGCCAAGGTGGGCAGACTGCCTGAGGTCAGGAGTTCAAGACCAGCCTGGATAACATGATAAAACCCTGTCTCTACTAAATATATAAAAATTAGCTGGGTGTGGTGGCATGTGCCTGTAGTCCCAGCTACTCAGGTGGCTGAGGCAGGAGAATCATTTCAACCGGGAGGCACAGGTTGCAGTGAGCCAAGATCGCATCATTGCACTCCAGCCTGGATGACAGAGAAAGACTCTGTCTCAAAAAAAAAAAAAGAAATGAATGGGCATGGCTGCATTCCAGTACATCTTTATTTACAAAATCAGGTGGCAGCTGGATTTGGCCTGCAAGCGAGGGCATAGTCACACAGTCAGCTCCTGCTAGAAGCTGTTGTTGGCTGACAGAACTTTCCGTGATGATGGAAAGGTCCTACTGTGTGCTGTCGAATGCCACAGCACTGGCCATGTGTGGCTACTGAGTACTTTAAAGGTGATCAGTGAAACTTAAAAACTGGGTTTCTCATATTACAGAATTTTAGTTTTAATTTGACTTTTAATAGCCACTTGTGGCTAAAGGCTACATATTGGACCACACAGCTCTCAACTAAGCCCATGGTAGGAAAATCTGACCCTCGCACCAGTAGATATGGAGGTGGTGCTATAAAGCTTTTAAAACTATAAACCACCTTTGTATTTCAGAAGGTGGAGCTGCAGGGGTGAAAGTGACCCTTCTGGGCCCTTGAGACATGTCCTGAACCCACAATTTAAACCCGAGCAATCCCACATTTGCTTGGAAGATTGTGGATTTGTCCAGTCTCTGCCATGCTGACCCAGAAGCCAGGTCCTGGCCCTTGATGCCGAGATGGCTCGGTCTCATTTCCAGTAGTCAGCTCTGGAACTTGCGGAGCTACTGCACACAGCCTACTGCGTCCATGCCATTCTAGGCCCTCCCTGCAGCCTTGTCACCAAACTGAGCCCGTTTGCAGGCACCTTGGGATCACAGGCAGGGGCTCTGCATTCAGGGCTGGCCAGGACTCTTTGGTGTGTGATCTGAGTTCAGGCATCCTCTCTAATCTCTCATCTAGTCCTGCAAAGTAAAGCCCTCAGGCTTCATAGACTCTAAAGGGCAGGCTGGCTGTGGCATCCGATGATTTCTGGCAGAGAGCCGACATCCTGGCTTCCTAAAGCTCTGTTCTGTTGGAGTCACTTCTCTCCTCGGCCCCTCCATGACACAGCGGCTCCTCACTGGACCTTCAAGCCCACATCACCTTCCTTGACCCGGAGCCCGGAACCTCTCTCCAACTTGCCTTCTCTCCTGCTTTTCAGCCGGAATTACCCTCCTAGATCTTTCCCTAGGTTCAACTTGGGCCTCTGCACACAGCTGAAAAACCCTCCTGCTTCTCTCCAGTCCTGTCTCAAATGCCACCTCCTCCAGGAAGCCTTTCCCCTCTCAGGACCATGGTGATTTCTCCATGTCCTTTGGACAAATCTGCAGAGCCCTCAGGGCCTCTCAGAGGAGTTATGTTACTTTAGGTTCTCTCCACTGTTGGTCCGGAAGTTCCCAAGGGCAGGACCTGCATCCTCCTCGGTTCCCACTCCTGCAGGGCCACGCCCCACTGCAGCAGGTGCACCATGAACACGTGTGAAGCCGAGCCAGCCTCTGCCACGTGGTGCTCTGTTTGTAGATTCCCTTAACAAGTTCACAAAATGTGACTTGATAAATTGAAAATCTATACTTTGAATTTATTTGGTGTCTTTTTACCTCTTCAAGAGTCTTCATTTTTATAAGTGAAATCTGGTACTTGACTGAGTAGAAACATGTCCAGAGATTGACAGGCTGTTTGTCTGAGATGTTTTTCTGCAGGATAAAATCAACCAACGTGGTATGTCTCTTTCTGGCGGAGTCCAGTGCCTGTCTACTGTCTTCATCCTCCCACGCGGGTCCCAGGAGGGCCGCAGCAGCATCACCCTCTTTCATGTCTGTTTTATGCTGAGGGGCACCTAAGGAGCTGTGCAGAGCAGAAGCTCAAATCAGCATTTGTCAGCAATCACTTTCTATGAGTTTTGGAGCCCGGTCTTTACCAGGAAACTCCAGGCATTATTCAGTGTACACAACGGCATTACAACACCTTGAAACTGTCATGTGGTGTTAGCACACAATCATACCAGGAAAGAGTCCCAGGTTTGCAGGTTTAGAATCGGCTTTAGAGGCTGCCACCCTGCCTGAAGAAGCCCACATGTCCATGCCACTTTATGCTGAGTCCCTGATCCCAGGGAGTGGTCACAGTGTGGAGGGAGCTGCTGCTTACGGAGCCACAGCCCAGCAGGACTGGCCAGAAGGAGGCAGAGCCTGGTTCACAGCAGCCCAAATCTGCCTCTACCACTGAGCTCTGTGTACTAGGGTGACCTGTCCTGAGACCATGGGGGCTCTTCCTCCTGTGTGTCGATGCCTCTGACACACAGACACATCCCCAACTTCCCAGCCAATGCACAGGAAATCAAGGGGAAATCAGAAAATAAGTTCATGGCCCGCCACGGTGGCTCACGCCTGCAATCCCAGCACTTTGGGAGGCCGAGGCAGGTGGATCACGAGGTCGGGAGATCGAGACTAGCCTGGCCAACATGGTGAAAACCCATCCTCTACCTAAATAAAAAAAAATACCCGGGCCGTGGGGGTGCAGCCTGTAATCCTAAACTCAGGAGGCCCCTTGAGGCCGGAAATCATTGGAATCCGAGGCGGCGGGTTCATGGCGAGGATCAAGCCATTGCACTCCAGCCTGGGCAATAGAGTTAGACTCCATCTCAAAAAAAAAAAAAAAGTTCAGAGAGCTGAAACACATGCGGCAGAGCCTTCCAGTATCTTCTGGTGTATACAGAGGGCAATGGCAGGTCTTTAGAGCTGAGGGGCAGCCATGAAGTCAACAAGCCTGGGGATGGCACCTAGGCTTCCTCTTGCAGGCCAACTCTGGTTTGTTGGTAGTCCTTGCTTGGAGCTCTGTGTTAAGAAGAATTCTGAGGCAGAGAGCTGGCTTAATGAAAAGATGCTCCAACTGATTACCTATGTCTGCTCTGGGTATGGCAAAGGTGAGGGCAAGGATGCCTGCTGTCTCCATCCCTGAGCTAGTCTAGTCCCCCTGCGGCTAGAGACTGGAAAAATGAGGCCCAGGGAGGGGCATGAAGTGTCCAAAGTCCCGTTTCAGTTCATGCAGAGGCTGAACTCTCAGGACAGTGCTCTTTCCACTGCTTGCCTGGGAACCTGTAATTAGGTCTGGGCACAGGCCAGGGGGCTGAGCCTCTTGACCTGCAGGGCCACCTTTCCCAGGAGCAGCTCACACCCTGGGCAGTGACTGAACATTGGGAACCATGGGTGCATTTCAGCAACCAGAGGACAAAGGATGGAGCCCTTGTGTGATTAAGGTGGCTGGGGAATCTGCTAAGGAGGAGCCGGTTGAATATGTAGCGGAGCCGGGGGAAGCTTATCGGGCCGATTCTGGATGTCCTTTGCCATCATAGCTTCCTGTCGGCTTGAGATGACTTAAGAGTCGATGATGTCCTGATTTCCCAAAAGCTGACGGTTTTGATTTGCAGTTGGTAACGCCTGATTTGATTTGCGGTTGGTAAGGCCCAGTTTGATTTGCGGTTGGTAACGCCCATCCTTATGTGCAGCTTCCACATCCTTTGTAGCCTGGTTGGTGTGCTGGGCACTGCGGGGATCAGCACCACCCTGGCATTTCTTGTTATCTAATCTGTCTCGAGGGCCAGCCTGACAGAGGAAGAGGACAGTAGTTCTACCCAGTGCTCACAGGTGCTGTGGGTAGTGGACTCTGTCCCCGCCTCACACATGTGTCAACATCTGCAGGGAAGGCCACTTTCTGGAGCCCTCGCCCAGCGTCTCTGAGCAAGGTTGAGTGGTGAGTATCCACTGAAATGTCAGTCCATCATTGTGAGTCAGCACCCACCGGCCTCCCTCACCTCCAAAGCCTTCAGGATAGCAGTCAGTAAAGCAAAGTGTCGGAGAGCATTGCTGTTCTCTTCAAATTATCTCTAAACAAACATTTAAAAAATTCTGTTTTGAAATGCAAATCAAAACCACAATGAGATACCACCTTACACCAGGCAGAATGCCTATTGTTAAAAAGTCAAAAAATAACAAAAAATAACTAGGAGATATGCCACTCTCACCATAGCCCACTTTTGTTTCAGACCATTTTGATGCTGAAAGTCTAAGCATTTCAAATATATCACATTGAATTGAATCCCCGTGACAATCCTAAGAGGCAGAGATTCCTATACACATTTTAGAGATGTGGAAACAAGTCCCGGGGATATGAGGTGACTTGTTTAAAGTCGCTCAGTTGGCAAGAGGTGGCACTGGGACCAAACTAAAGCTCATTCACCCCAAAGCTCCATCTTTTCCTTCTGTATCCCATCCCCAGGGAAGTATAGTGACACGGGTTAGGTCCCTGCACAACCTAGGGTAAATTATGTACTTTATGAATCTCAGTTTATTCATCTATAAAATGGGCATAGTAGGCCAGGCACGGTGGCTCATGCCTGTAATCCCAGCACTTTGGGAGGCCGAGGTGGGTGGATCATGAGGTCAGGAGATTGAGATCATCC